TTTTTTTGAGCCCCGAAAAAAAATTGTCTCAGATCGACCGGGAAAAAAAATTTTCTTATAAAATGTGCCCTGTAGAATCCATAATTTTAAACAGTTCGAAGATTGGGCTACCAGGTCAAAAGTTACAGTCCTTTAAGTTTTCTTTCGAAATTGGTTTCTAGTCTATAACTTTTGATTGAGAAGCCTAATCGAAAAAGTACGAATTTTATAGTTTTGGATTCTACGCCCCAAAATTAATAAGAAGAAGTGTTTTCCCGGGAAATTTTGGTGTAGTCGATTTTTGGTAAAAAAGGAACACTGCCTTTTTTTGAGCCCCGAAGAAAAAATTGTCTCAGATCGACCGGGAAAAAAAACTTTCTTATAAAATGTGCCCTGTAGAATCCATAATTTTAAACAGTTCGAAGATTGGGCTACCAATTCAAAAGTTACAGCCCTTTGAATTTTCTTTCGAAATTGGTTTCTAGTAGGGAATGCAATCCCGCAGAAAAATCTCAATCCCGGTATTTGCGAGATTGTTAGATGTTAATCCCACGGAAGCCCGGTATTTGCGGGATCCCGCAAAACATTAAATAAATTGGCAAATGAGCAATTCTGTGCGGTTAACTTCTGTATTAAAATAAATGGCTAATTATCACAATATTTAACAAAAAAGTACCTTCAGCCTAACTTAGAACTCAAAGAAACCTCACCTGTAAAGCACAAAAAGGTGAACTTCTAAAGTGCCTCAATAATCATAGTACATTTTTAACGAAAAAAATTTGACAATTATTTAAAAAATAACTTCTCCGTTATGCGTTTTATTAACATAGTAAACAGAGTCGTCCCCTTGGTCGACAAATTCCTCAGTCCCGCAAATCCCGCGGGATCCCGCTCCATTTATGTGCGGGATTAATCCCGCAAAAATGCGGCGGTATTTCGGGATCCCGCGATCCCGGTATTGCATTCCCTAGTTTCAGTTGAATGCACCCTCCTTTTTTAAGCATTTCAATAAAAAAGCTTCTGTGTAATTGTATATAAATTTACTATAACGAGTACAAGCTCGTACATGTTCTTTTAAAACCAATTAACGGGGACAGACAATTTACTTATTGAAAGTTTCGCAAAATTAGGTTTTTACATAACATTCGCTTCAGGAACTAATTACATCATTTGGTTTTCGGGATAAACTTTTTTGCGCATGAGCATGTACAGCATTTATCATCATTTGATACTACTTAAATGTGTTTAAAATAAAGGCTTAATGTGACATGTGACTTTCGAAGCGAGAGGGTATCAAAGAATCGCCGGCACTCGAATTTCTGTGTATGAGAGTGGAATTCCAGACAATAGCTTTGAATTTGAGATTTAAATTCCGATTTAAGATTTCCGTGACTTTAGCGTGGAACAGGACATTTGTATGCTATTTTCAGTTCTAAAGGCCCCTACAGACGAACGTTTTTGTAGGCGTTCATGTACGGGCATACAAAATGCGCATACAAAAACGTGCACTACCACTACCTCCAGACGCACTCACAATTTCGCAGTATTTTGAGCGATGTCAAATGATTTGACATTGGCAGCAGTGCTGTGCTCTAAGCGAAAATGAACCAAATAATTCCATAAATTCCCGCAGGAATTCGCGGGACAGTGTTCTACAATCAGACATTTATAAAACAAATTAAATAAGCAAATTCAAAGTAATATATCGAATAAAAGCACTGCACCTTACCTGATCTTCTACGAGGCTACTTATGTGCGACGCACAATTTGCATCCACACGTTGAAACTTTTTGTATGCACGTACAAAATTTCTGTCGTCGACAGGATTGCACATTCAAAAACGTGACGTTTTTGTGCATACGTGCCACTTTTCGATTTCTAATTTAAACGGGATCTGATTAGCTTTTGGAGGGAATGGCCTATTTTTTAAACGTTGCCGGGTTGATTTTATTTCTGTGTTATTGTAGTATGAAGTTAGAGTACAAGAGTGAGGAAATATATGGAATGACATATATTTTAGGGGATAGGGAAATTATTGTTATGTTTATACGTAGCAAAACACCTAATCTGCATTTGACTGTTTTTAATGTAGTCCATTAAGAACTCATTTGTAATTGAGATATAACACAAAGTGGTGTCTGATGTGTGTATTCTGGGAATTTTGCCTTTATTTTAGTTTCCGTCCTGTATAATTCGTTGCTAATGCAATATGAAGTGTGCCATTTACCACTGACTCTCTCCGATTCCCAAAACTACATTTTTTACTCACCAAAAAGCAGACACGATTCGTGCAAAACAATAAAGCCGTGAAAAGATTTGCTTACTCACGATACGCTATTCAAAGAAGCTCATCAGCGGAATAAATGGATGCCGATTATTGTAAATCCTTCGGTATAATTAGTGAAAACGGTTACATTAATCATGCGTATCTGAATACAAAACACCAGGATATCTCCCACCAATAGGATAAAAGGGCTAGATATACAAAGATAAAAGCTTAATTGTATTAGTAACTGTACAATTTATAATTTTAACGACCCACTCACAGTGAATGAGGTATAATTCCCAAAGTAATGCAGGGACAAAACAAGGCAAATAAATTCGATATATTTTTTTTTGATGGAGAGGTGTGTGACACGATTTTAAATTCCCTTCATAGGAGAATTTACTAAATTTAGATTGCGTTCAATGGGTAGGTGTTGGTCGAATAAAAAACAATTACAGAACATTAGTTGAATAATAAAAGCTGCAACCATGTGGCGTTTAATGATTAATGCAACTTTTTGTTTATCCCATAATCCGTGGATGTTATTTGCTTATTTATCTGTAGTTGTCTTGCCTTGCCTCTACTGCGTTATTTATAGTTATGGGAATTAGCGAGTCATACGATGAAATACGCTCCTGATTATGCAATATTTTATTGACATGGCATTGCAGTCCATAAAAATATTGCTTACTGACTTAGTAGCGATCTAATTTGAATAATTTGGAAAAATGCATACTCCCCTTGAGGTAATAAATATCAATTTTTCCTTATGCGTAAAAAATTATGGAAGTAAATTTTATACATAGAACGACTGTAAAGTAGTTTACAAAGATTTATTTCAAGTAGCAGCATGTTATAGCATGCACAATGTCTGCCACCGTACGTAGCACTACTATTGCCTATTGGCGTTTTATTACTTTCAACAACTAATCGTTTTTCTGCTAAAAAAAAAAGAACATAGGTACACTACATACCTTTGATTAACTATATTCAAAGCTACATACCATAAATAAATGGAGTAAAAAGTATGTAAAAAAATGAAGTGATTCAGAGGACTTTTTCCAAATCACAGATTTTTAGCCCTTTTTGTGTGTGAGTGAGTGAGTTTCAGTAGTTTACGATATACAATTATACACATTCTCATCCGAAAGTGAAACTGGAGAAGGTATGATTCCATTAGTAACTAATAACAAAAATATTTATTCAAATTATTGCGTATCTTATCGATTATATTTACGATAGTTTTCCAAAAACTAATTCCATCTGGCAACGTAATCTCCGCTTTGACAGACACGCTATACTCTCATAAAAGAAGATCTGACGGAAGATGCGATTCATTTGCATTAATTAGCAATTCATTATCGGAATTAATATTGCAGCTCAACAAACAGAAAGACGACCGGCAAATTAAATCCAGAAAATATTTACCTTTCTGTTTCAAATATTTACAACTGTTGAAAATTATAATGAAAATCCATTAATTTTTTTAAGTGTAACTAATGGAATTAAAGATAAACATTATTTATAATTAAAAAAGTCCATAAGCGCGTTAATTAAGACTTGATTAATAATTCAGATTAAAATTGTCAAGTGAAGCGTCAGAAGCCATTACTTGAATTTATATTTACGTATTAATAGTAAAAATAAAAGCAAAAGGGGAGTGCAACTCCTTTATTATACATATTATTAAAGATGAGCAGTTAACGATTCATTAAACCCACGTGTTACCGCTCTAATAAAACTAGTTGGAATTTTTGCGTCCGATATGAAATTAAGCTGTCCAACGTGATTCGACTGTAGGGGGAGTTTGAAAACCGGAGTTCTTTTAATTCCGATTTTTTCCATGCAGGGATGCTCCAATTACTGTCATTATTTTCGGAGGGCTGTAGTGGATTACGAAGTAAAAGCACCTACAGATTGGGGGTTGTCAAAGTGAAAAAGTTTCAAGGGACTCTGGGGAGATCCTAATTGAAATGTGAGTCTGTGGATGTGAGATTTGATGGTCCCCCGTGATGTATTAGAAGCATCTTTTAGGCTAGACGTGTCTGCGTTACTATCCCCTATTTATGTGAGGGTAGTCCGTATCAATATACTCATTCATTATTATGTCGAATTAAGCGAATTTAGGTTTCGATTTTTGATTAGGTGTGTTCCCTTTCCAGTGAAATATTAATCATTCTCTTTGATTGTCTATCCTGGAGGGTAACCGCCATTACGCGAAGTTTGGTGTTACAAGGACATTTTTCAATGGCTATTATTGTTTAAAATTGGGGAGAAACAAGCGAAATTTGGTGATTAAATCTAGAATTAACGGCGAACATTTTTCTAGCTCGTTCTAAGCCTCGGGAACAATACGCCGTTTAAATAAAATGTTTTGTCCCATCCATAACGCAGTTGAGTAATTGTCAACATTAGTCAACTCCTAAAATATAGCTTTCACTTACCTTTTTCAGACGGGACATTGCTATTAAAAGCATCCTTTTCATCTAAACCAGGTGCGGAATAAGATGAATAGTATTTACTAAACAGGATTTGTAATAAATAAGACGGACAAAGTACACTTTAAGCCCCTTTTTGTTTTAAATTGTATGCATATAAATTTGAATTAACTTACAACAAAATGAAACAAACAAAAATCAATTCCAAACATTACTTGGCGCGTGTTGCTCAATTTATTATAGCAACTTAAATAGTTTAACTAGAAATAGCCGAAGAAATTCCATTAGGGTATAAAGCAAATTAAAATTCCTCCTGATTAATTGTGAACTATTTTAATGCACAATTAGAAAACAAAAACATAAAAATAAATATCTACATTACGGTGATTGTTATTATTTTATACACTAGGACTGAAAAATTACAAAAACTAATCACTACAACGTTTCATTGTAACAAACATATGTACAAAAGAGCGAAGTTTATATACAAGCCGATACCTTAGACATCTAAAATCACAGTCTTGATACATCTACACAATGCATCTACGAGACACCGAAAGTATTGCTAAAAATTATATGTCGATTGTAGATAGGTATTCGGAACCCAGTGAAGTTGGTTCTGATATCGTGTGTTCGTATTTGTGCCAAGACCCAATATTTCGATAAATTGCAAATTGAAATTTGAAAATAATACCACAATGCTTCTTTCATTCATAAAAAAATCACATGAGAACAGTGAATGGTCACTATTACACATAAAAAAAAAGGTTTTTAATAAATTAAGATATCGTACATATTAAAAACATGCAAAATTGAATATTGCTCTTACGAAAAGAGTTAGCTCAGAAAATAAAGAAGTTAATTGGTACAGTTAAGGAGGCATATTATGAACAACCATATAAATCTTTAATTTGTTAGCTAATATTGGAAAAGTTTCAAAAAACAAAGTTTTTAATAAAAGCCTAAAATGTTTGCTTATAGTCAAAATGTTTACCAGAAGGGCGGTAAGGGGTGAACTAATGGAAATGTAAAATCAAAAGTCAAGGAATCAATACGGAGAGGAGTGATTATCGAGGTGATAATGGGATTAAAGTAATTTTAATAAGTGTTTTTTGTTAAAAATTTATTATAATTGGGAATTTATCATTTTACATAAAAATTCCATATTATGTGAATCCACAATATGCCTTTCGACTGTATAAATTCCCACCGTTTTATGATAATTGTAATGCTATGCTCTTATTTGGGATGCGTATAATTTATAATAACAATGTATTTTTGTCCCTCGCAAATTTATTTTTACTTTGATAATAACTTTAATAGGACGATAAGTTTGTGTAGATAGTTTCTCGTCGGTAATATAAGGGTCCGAGGAAAAATGTTTGTGGAGAAGTCCTGTACTGAAAATAACTCGGTCTACCTACAAGTGCTAAATAAAGTTCATGGTTGAATTTGCATTTCGCGAACTTTTGAGTATCTGTTTCATATGGGCAGACTTGGAATGGATGTAAAAGAATGAGACCTATAGTAGGTATAATTATATCATTTCTGATATAAAAATGTATTTTTATTTCAACAAAATTCAGATTTTTCTTTTGTCCAATGTCCAATGCCTTGACGTGACACAATATCAGAGCCAACCTTTCGTCATTAAGTCCCTTCTTAGATTTTAGTACAATCATATCGATTTAGTATTCCCGTTTCTTCCGAAAATGCGTTGTTATTTAACAGAAAATTGGCCTACACAGGAAGACCTCGAACTTTCAAAACACATGGACTAGTATGACACATTTTGAATTCACATCCAATCTAAGTAAATTGCTTAATTTGACACTGTCCCATTAATTTACCTGTAGTAGAAGGTCCCGCCTCGACGTACAGACATGAGGAGCCGCTACACGAGCAAGTAGTGTCGTGACTACTGGAACAGGAATGCACGTCGGTATCGACGTCTGCGTCTCCCTCATCCCAACGATAATACTGTCCCCATATTTTATCACAGTTATGTGGAATATGGCAGCGTCCTTTGTGATTGTTCGACCGTCGCCCCGAACTTCCGCTCGCAAGTGACCATTGATTGTCAAGATTATTGTACGAGTTTGGTTTTGAGTGGGGAGGAATTCGGTTAGGAAGATGCATTGCGTAGCAGGTATAGGCCCCAGTGCTGCCGTAGTTACTGCCAGTGCGAGGAGGAGGAATGGGTGGGTTTTCACGAGGGCACTCCGGGGGTGGGTGACTTGGAGGTGGTGGTATTAACTCCGTCCAAGACGGTGGGGGTGGTAAAAGCATTGTGGTCGCATAAGGTGTGGGAGTATCTGGTGAGCTTCTATTGTAAAAGGTTGATAAGTTTTTGGTATCGACCTCCGCGTAATCCGCAATTGGAGGCGAGAGTGGTAATGAGGAATCCTTGTCTGAGTCTCCAGCTCTCCACCCTCTGTCTATCCATAGACTCTCCTTTGTATTCATTTGATTGCCGTTGCTTATAGGAACATTGAGGTGGCCCAATTGTTTCGCTAGAGTACGCTTACGCTTAATATAAATGAAACCAGCTATTCCTGCCAGAAGTGAGAGAAGCAGAACAGACAGTAGTACCACAAACCAAGTCTGCTCTATGAAAGGAACTAAACCATCCAGAGGCCGGCTGTTGTGACTTTGGATTAGAGATAATGGAACGGAATTGGAAAATGGTCCCAGACCTGCTTGAGTTAGTCCAGCAACTTTTACACTATACATGTGACTCTTTGTTAAATTGCTTATCAGCAATGAAGTTGTGTTTGAATTAATAGTCACAGTTCGTAGTAAACCTCCTTTCACTTGCAACTTATAACCGATTATTATACCATTATGATGTTGCGAAGGTGGAGACGACCACCTTACCCATGCTGCCGAATCGTTATAAATTTCAAAGACGATATTATCCGGTGGGGCTGATGGTACATCTTCAAAGGTCTGCGATATGCGCGTGTTGGATGGTTGCCCTTCCACCAATTTAAAAAAAGGAGTGACAAAAAATTCATACTTTGTGAACTTTTTTAAATTAGACACTTGGTAACTGCGACTTTGCAGATCTAGCACTTTCACAATGTCATAGTTAGTCAATCCTCCGACTACCTCCCGGAAACGCACGTATACACCTTCCACATAATTAGTCGCACTCAAATTCCACACTAATTTAACCGAATTACTCGACAGCGCCTTTGCATCCCACAGTTCGACCGTATTCGTACTCAACGCGTTACGAGCGTTATCAATTTCCGAATGAGTAAGCGAGTTAACTAACGTTCGGGCTTCTTTCGAAACTTCACTGGCGGATGAGAGACCGTGAGAGTTTTCCGCGCGCACCAAAAACACATACGAACTATCAGGTTTTAAATTACGCACCACCGTGTAGGGGTCCGGCACTCTGTGAGCGGCTGTAACCCATCCACTTTGCAAATCTGGACTCCAATACTCAATCGTGTATCCTATCAGATGAAGATCTTCATCTCGAATATCCCAAGCGAGACTTACAGTGGACTCGGTTGTATTCAACACTCGTGGTTGATTTGGAGCAAGCGGAAATGTGGAGGGATCCGGGCTGCGATGTAAGCTGCTTGAAGAGCCAGGAACAACGTTTAAGGACGCAGACCAAGTGCTTTCGCCGCTCTCAGCTGTTGCCGAACATGTATACATCGCTGAGTCGTCCGACTGTAAATCTGCAAATTTGCGCTGTAACTGTATGTCATAACTGAGCTGTCGGTGACTTACCATCTATATCCAAAGTGCCAGTAACGTGCATTGTGTACCGTTTCGGCAACGAGGAGTTATCGAGAAACCTCCCATTCTTCAACCAGCGCGTTTTCGGCTGAGTTCCATCTGTACACGAAGCCTTACAGTATAGAGTGACCATACTGTGCAGTGGCAAAGTTTGATTGCTTGGGCCGATCTGAATAATCGGGGGAGGTAAATCCGCGACGGATATTACGCGCAGAAAGGCGCGTGAACTCTTAGAACCAGCCACGCTAAGTGCGGAGCAAGCTATAAACCCTGAATCCTCGCGCTGCACTTCGCGTATTTTTAATGTTCCGACCTGATTGACCTGCATCCGTCCGTAGGAATTTTCGGGAAACATCAACACTTGGGACCCTTCTCTGCTCCAAAACGTTGATGGTGGAGGGTTTCCCGTAGCTTTACAGTGAAATTCGACAAATCCGTTTAGACTTACCTTTTGATCTTGTGGTTGCTCGATAAAGGTAGGAGGTGCTGTTAGTTAAAGGTTCTTGAGGTGTGTGTTTTTAATTACCGCTATACTTACAGTTTACTAGTAGTGACGCTTTGGTCGAAATTGTCCCGACGAGATTTTCTGCATCGCAAACGTAGAGACCTTCATCAGAGCTTTGCACGTTTTGTATCTGCAAGGATTTATCTTCCAAAATCTGGGCGCGACCAATGGGAATTTTTCCATGGTCCTTTCTCCACAGAACTTTCGGCTTGGGCTCGCCATCAACGGAACAGGAGAATGTTATTTTCTGCCCCACTAGCGCAACTACATCGTGAGGTTCCTTGTTAAAGGTAGGCTTAACTGTAAAACGGAATTAAAAGTGTTCAATAGCAGTTTAATTTACCGTGAACTGTAAGAAGAACGACGGGTGTCTCTTTGTGGCCCACCAAATTATGAGCGACGCACTGATACCGACCCTCGTCGTATTGACGAACATCATTTATAAGAAGGTTGCCGCCGTCTACAACACGGACGCGTTTGCTATCGACGTCGATCGTTTTCCCGTCCCTTTTCCATATCACACTCGGTTCTGGATTGCCCTTCGGAGGGCCGCACTGTAGTAAAGCCGTTTCTCCCGCAGCTACAAGTGTATCCGTCGGCATAACCCGAAATTCGTCTCGTAAAACTGAAACAAATTTTTAAATTTAGGAACGTCATAAATATATTTCTCTTATTTTTCCATTTCCTTCCGTTCGCATAAAATGTGAATACCGATCAATGTGTCGAAAGGCAGTGGAATAATGGTGATCTTTTCATCGCCTTTTCTCAAATTACGACCTCGTTCGACTTATTAAATCAAATATTTATGATATATTGATTCCATTTACGAAAACCTTTGTGGTTAGCGGTAATTTAGAAAATTACTTCCGCCCACCGCTATTTCCTCGTTGCTTTTGCATGTCTACGGGAGAACCGCAGTTCGTGAATCAAGATAACCGTTTTTATAGCCGGAAGCAGGAGAAAAGAAGACTTTTGCAATAATCGACCCCGGTTATTACCCAATATTTCTAAGGTTATTGCTTCAGTTTATTCCCTGCTCCAGACTAAAAAAGATATATAAAAATTCACCATTGTATTTGATGAAAAATTTTAAATATAAAACACTTATCCCCCCCCCACCCATCTTTATAACTCATAAAGGGAGTCGGTAATTATTCATGAACTATGAGAAATGAAGAATTTGGGTTTATCTTTGAAATTAAAAGCATACAGGCTTACAAGTACCCACATCCGCGAATATAAATTTAATTAATCAATCTACAGACGACGATGTACTTTCTCTCAGTGTAATACCTTCCATATCAATTCTTTAAGCCGAAACTCTAATTAAGTAGTACTTAAAACTTCAACGAAAGTGGATGGGAAATAAAGTAGCGCTTAAGCGCTTATAGAAGGGGGTGAGAATATCATAATGAAGTGGTTTGTGGTCGATTATGATCAGATGTGGGTAAAAAGAAAAGCTACAAGTAAGTATGAAGATTACAAAGTTTCTTATTTACATAAACTTTCAGAGTATGTAACAATAATTAATTAAACTGTGAAAGAAATTTCTAAATGGCTCGCGTCAAGTGTTGAATATAGGATAAGGAGAGTTTTTTGTTTATAAAATTTGTCCGGATTTCTACATTTTATGTTACTACACACGCCGTATTATACTTTTGGAAATTTTTATCATAAATTGACCACAGAAATAGATAAACAAATTAATTCTAAGCAAAAGGTGTTCTCAGATCTATATATTTTTTGTAAAGTTAATACTTTTCGATTTGTTCCCGACCGAAGGTATGAGTTTTTCATAGAAAAATGAACGTTGGTTATTCGCAAAAACTCAAAAAGTATGCATGTGATTTAAAAAAAACTGTAGAGAACCAAATCGTAGCTTTTAAAAGGCAAAGCAAATGGTTTTTTATTGATTACTGTATGACCAATACAAACCGAGTTAAGGTTAGCTCTTGTTTGTCAAAAGTTAGATTAGAGAGTTTCAAACTCAAAAAAACGGCGATAGCAACCCCCTAATTACCACTTAAAAATAGTCTCTCCGTTTTCAAGTTTTCTCTAATTACATATTATTAATACATTCTAGAAGCCTGGCCAATTTATAATACTTAATTTCGAAATAATTGGAACCAAAAGTAAAGAACGAATTTCTGTAATTTTGTGAAAAACGTCCCTCTCTTCAAAATAACTCCAAAACAACTGGAAGAGTATCGATAATGGGAAAAAACTAATTTTTTATTATACCTGAATCACAATCTCCGTTTTAAACACTCAAATCCGTGCGAAAAAAGGCCTTTAAAACACACGTGCTTTAAAGTTGCTAAGTAACGATACTTCAAGTATGACTTTTGAAACTGTCATCTGGGGCTGAAATAAAAGATCCTCTTAGGTCGCTGTCTGTAAATGCAGAACATTTCTTTGGCTTGTACCTATCCTTTGGTTGAAGGTTTCACAAACGCGCGTAATTTAGGGTATGCTTCCAAATCTGTTCCACTTTTAATCGCAGCATTGTTTGAAGTTTTGAGTTAATGCACCAAAAGATAGGAGATTTAAATACCTTTGGCATTTCCTTCATATATCCCAGCATTATCGATGCATTTAAGACTTTATTCGTAAGTAACTTCCTTTTCATCCATGGAAACAACTTTTCATATTCTTTATAATAGGCTTTACTAGATTTGGATTTTACACCTACCAACGTTTGTTTAGATTTTACAACAAGCGATTTAATGGACGGTGTATTATCTTTTTCAACGGAAATCGTTTTATTCACAAAGACGACGATTTTTATAAGCAAACGTCAAGTGACATTTCCATGGCAATCGTGAAATTACGAACACCCAGCCCACTTAATTAGACATGTATTCGAGTATAACGTCAATATGATTTCATTGTATTTCCTATTTTTAAATTATACTGCAGGTATAATAAAAAATACTATAAGATACACGTGTATAATTGGTCTTTAAAGCACTTGCAACGTTAAAGGCACTCCGCTTTGCGTCGTGCCCTTAAACTCGTTGCGCGTGCTTTAAAGACTTGATTATACACTTGTATCTTAATATACTATTTGAATCTAAATCAAGATCTAAATGTTGGCAGGGTAACTTTTGCAACGACCTTAAAATCAAGCCTTTATGAAAAGACTCTCACTTAGATTTCCGTCTTTGAAATTTTAATACAAAATAGGTTTCAAATTTTATCAAAATAGGAACAAAACTAAAAAAGTTCGAGCTTCATTTCATTTTTAAAGCGGCTTCAGAAAAATTTCATCGTTATCATATATTTTGTTGTCAGCTGCAATCCTGCGTAAACTTAATTAATTTAAGTGAATCATATGTGAGTCTGGCCACTATAATATTATCCGTTTTCCAGTTGTATTTTGGTTTAATTAAAGTAAAGCAAATGTTAACTTTTAATGAAACCGAAACTCATCAGTTACTATAATTTCATTACGATAACGCATTTCGCTTTGAAGTAATTAATCTCCAGCGTTAGATGAGACAAAGCCCGTAATGTTTTTGTAGATTATTTGGAATGTTCCTCGTGACATACAAATTAGTAGCATTTGTAAATTCGGTTTGTATTTAAACTGAACATACCCGGTATTGTTTTCAATTAATTATATGTAACTCTGTATTTACGCACGATTACGTCCCTTTCATGAGAGGAAAACCGTCCTTTAAAATAATGAAAAGGGCTCGATGTCATTCATATATATAGTTTGAAAAGGTTCGCTAATAAATGGACAAGGGCAGAATGACATGTATTGTGCCTTAAAGGGTAAATGACATCAATAAAAAAAGGTTTCACCGTATGCGAAATTTATGATGGTGCAACATCTGGATTTGTCATTAGTTTCGCCCTTCCCTAACACTTTCCTTATCACTACGTTTTTTCAATAAATTCCATGCCGAGGGCGATACTTCAAAATTCACTGAAATATCGTCTATTCTCCCTTTATAGCGACGGATATTCCCTAAACCATTGTAGCTCTCACTAATTGGCATGACTGTTGGAACAGATATGTCTAATAGCGCTAATGCCACATATAGGGGTTAGTAAGACTGTCTCACCACCCCCATGAACATGCAAGCTTTGTTTGGATGCGAAGGTCTAATATTATCCCTAGGGATAACGTTCATTTATAGTATACGATCAAATAATACCTCGAATTATTATTATTAAGCCGTAAGGACTGTATTTGCAGTGGGTTTCATGATGTCAGTGTGATTCCGGAGGGATGCGCGTTATAATAAATGTCCAGAGAGTAAACTTTTAAACACAATGCTCTTTTTGTCAGAAATCGAATCTAACTAAACTTTTAAGAAAAAAACTTCGTATAAGGTTGTATAGCGACAGCCGTTCTATTAAATTTTAGACCGAAGGGTAGAAAAAATTTTCTTCGCCGCACCTGTTCTAACAAATGATGCGTACACAACATTACACGTTAATGGTTTTAATTAAACACCCCTCGCTGCATTCAATATAGACGTAATTTTGACTAACGTCGCTAAATTTGTTCGCCCCTGAATTAGCGACATATAATGGGCCATAAATAGTCACCGTTGCATACGAATGCACATGAGCTTCGAAAACTAATATCAATTTTCTCTGATACAAAAAGTTCTTGGAAATTGAAGTTTCACAATGGATTTGTTGGTCTTAATTAATTTATGGATTTTTCACTTTATATAATAGGAAAATTCGAATGATTTCGTGACTATGACATTCTTAGATGGTAATTTTAGTTTAGCGTTGAGGTCATTTAACCGTTTATAGACGACAAGCTTAATGTAATAGATATAAATGGAGTCAGAAACTATCGGTCAAATTACAAAGACACTAATTGGACATACACTATTAGAGAGCGAGTTATATTTGTATCAATTTGCAAAATTAAATTAGGAACCACTATAATAATTGCAGTTCGGAAATTGTGTGATGAAGTTGTGGAGATTGAGATAATGAAGGATTAGCAATGATTATACACGAGGTCAGCCTTACTCGTGGTGTAACGTGATTAATCATGTTAAATGCATTTTTAATGTAATGGCCGGAAATTACAAAATGAAAGGGAAACATGTCGGGGGTGGAACGATACGGGTGTTTAAATATATAAGAACCTGCTTGACGCAGGTCACAGCGTAAAGTTCTAATGGCATTAAAACTGATAATTACTTCTGTTCGCGATGGTTGCTAGTTATGGAATCTAGGTCTGCCAAACCTGACTGCTGTTTGAGCGTAATGTCAATGGTAACATGCAGTCTGCTAATTACATGTGGTCTTGACCAAAACGCGTTCTTGCCACCAGCATATTGCCAATATCCGAAATATCGCTTCCCGCGGGCTGTTTAATATAAAAATATTGTTGATGTATTACATTCAAAGTTAATGATTTTAATGGAATAAAAGTTACCGAATTTATTAGCTAACAAGCTAATAAAGTCCAGATTCATTACTGCTGAGCACAATCGATTATATTGATTTCTGATACTTGATTTGATAAGTTAGCATGAGGTTAGCAATGCCTTTGTTAAATTGAAATTGATGCTGTTAGAAAATGGTAAAACATAAAATGAGTTCTAAGCTCATGATTACCACCCCAGCATCAGGGGCGTAACCATAACCGATTAAACAATCGTATTTGTAAGTTCAATTGAAATTTTAAGAAGTCTCGGTTTCTCTGCATTTGTAGCTTCTACTAAAATTTTCGTGAAACAAGGCTTTGAAGTTTGAAGAAGGCTGAGATTTCCTACAAAGGAATCAATACAAACGAATTACTTAGTATATGGTGCATTAATCAGAAAAGTTACCAGAAAGCAGTTTATTTTAACCGGGGCGTCATGTTAATTTAAGACAAGTCCATTCTGAAGACGACACTACACTACCTGCAGTATGTAATTCTGCGCTGTATCGTTATTTTTTTCTTCATATTTTTGAACACTCTAGATGGCATAAACAGAGACCCAACGAGATATGCCACTTTACACGGTTGTGGCATTTTTAATTTGTAGCGTTGAGATTACGGACTAAGGGTGATGAAATTAACGAATACGAAAGAAAGACTCGATAAGGTCTTTTCTTTCTTTCGCCCCTTAAAACGGCAAAATTTTAAGAGTTTTCCGTGCTCCCATGATCATTTTTGCGGAAACGCCATCGACTTCTTCCTCTTTTGGGGAGTAGAGAGTTTTGTCGTGAAAGGTTGGATTTCGAAGCTAAAAATGTCGCGCGTTTTTAAAAATATACCCTTGAGTAACCGAAATAATTATATATTCTTCCATTTTGGCATTAAAAATTGTGCTGGAGTCACCTACGTCTCAGTGTTTATGAATTGTGTCATTTTGTAAGAATAAGAATTGGTGGGACTGAACTTCAGCAATATAAAATTGGGTTACGATTACGGGCGGATGAGATTCTGGGAGGTACACATATATTAAGATGATATTAATTGAGTTATATAAGAAGCTTCTAAGGTGCAATTAAAAGGGCTATTAAATCTGCGCCGGCAAGAATATTGTATATCTTGATAGAGTTGAATTATGTGCTTCATAATTAAAACATTCAATATGAATACGACACACGTTATTTCCACAGAAAAAAAACCATTAAATGCTAATGTTTTTATGCGCCAGTTAAATTGAATTAAAAGTAAATAAAACTAGGTGGTCTCAAGGTTCTTGTAATTTTAATTGATTTTTCCTGTCGTTTGCGTAAGAAGGATCTGCTGCTGTGATTATAAATGGTTTGAGGGGGCACGTCAAGTTTAGAATTTTTGTAAAGTTGTAAGGCGATCTTTTAATGGAACTAGTAGAGCTTTGAAGAAGTGTACATAATGAAATTGGATAATGAATCCGCCGTCTCTGTAGCTAACCACAAAGAAATATCAATATTTGTACAGTCATTTTACCTGCAACTTGAAGTGTAGCGTTTCTGCTAACGGCAATTCCGGCGATATTTCGTGCCACGCACCAGTAGACCCCCCCATCTTGTTCTTTTTTACTGCTTACAGTGCGAAGGAAAAATAATGATCCTGAAGGTAGCAGTACGCGATGGGACTTATTATCAACGGGAGAGGTCCTTACAGGTTCGCCATCCTTAAACCATTCCACGGAGGGCTCTGGGCGTCCTTCTGCTTTACAATTTAAGGTTACCGGTTCGTTTTTGGCAACGATTATATCGGATGGATGTTCTGTTATGCGGGGGGACCGATACTGTCCTGAAACAAAGAGATTCATTAAATTATATTTTGCTAGTTGAGCGAAAAGAGAAGATTGACTGGTTTTAACATTGCAAACTACCTATAAAAACGGTTTTAGTACATAGTGAAGTTTCTTTTATTTGTAGTGTTTTATCATCTGCAGACGTTTACTTTTATACGCAACACAGAAACGGACTTCAAATTCACGACAACCTAAAAGAAGAACCATCGTCAGTTAAGGGTTGCATTTGTTTTATTAAAATAAAGTTAAACTTAGGGCAATTTACGTAATTTAGAAGTTAGCTAGCCCACTCAACGAAGACCAAAAACTGCCAAATAGGAGAAATTATTCGTGTAAGAGGTCGAAGGTTCGGAAACATTAAAAGCAGAGTATGATTTGCAGAAAATGGACAAAAACTGAAGTTGCTGAGCAGGTTTTACAGCCTTACGACAATCATGCAGCGAACTGTTCTTCTCTAACATCAAGCAATTGCTAGGAAATTTTGCAATTACTTCATTCACAACTGCAACGCCTTAACGAACATTTTCATCTTTAAAACGAACCAAGACCTACCAGAGGAACCGAATGGGACGCTACATTTATTTTTTATCTAAATCACTACAACAATTCTTTAAAATGGTTACATTTTTAATCTGCTGCCTTAATTTATGTTTTCTAATTAAGTTTATCATTAATTCGTTGGGTCAAGCGATTTCTTTAGTTTTTCGTAATTCTCTTACGTAATTTTCGTGTGGAAATTAATTAGCTAAATACGCCATTTTTAACTTCCTACAGTTCCAGCTAGGCGGCTATTGCGTTTACATGTTAAAATTTCAGCAAATGTCGACGTTTTAGTTTATTTTTAGCAACTTTTAAAAAGATACAATTTTTTCGGTCTGTATGTATGTATGTTAGCAATATTCTGAGGTAACGGCTCGACCGATTTTGTTCAAATTTCGGATATGTATATAAGTATATTAAATTTTGGCGGTCGTCAAAAAAGTTTTTTGGTTTGAGCTAGGAAGCTATTCTATCAAAAATTTGGTACCTGGTTTTTTTGTTGTACGTTTTTTGAGACAACTGCAGTATTAACGCCGGCAGGTTTCTGTTAGCTTCCGTTTCAATGATTCATTGAATTTAATTGACCGATAGTTCTTGCAGGTTTGGTACAGAGAATCAAAGAGACTCAAACTATATGCGCTGTTGCTGATTGGAAATTTACCAATAAACAGTTCAGCTAATAGATAAGGATGTCAGTAATTGTGAAAAATGTCCCATTCACGGATATACATATAAGTAACCAGTAACAGAATTTGTGTATCGAGTGTGATAGAATATCCATGCAATACAAAACTGTCTTGCAAAGTCTGGTGTACGTCCAATTTAAACATAAAACCAAAGCGTCTCTTTAATTGAATTGCCATCAAAGAATGTATAAACATGCTAGGATTAAAATTCATCACTACTACATTCCCGTTCATGCATTCTTCACTTCGAAAAAGTCCCAAATTCAGAGGGTCATGTGACCTATCCAAATATAAAATGATGCTCTTCCGGATTTATTTTTGTACGGTAAAGGGTTTGGCGCAAGCCTTTATAATTAAATCACGAGTTATAAGAAGTTTATATCCGACGAAAGTTATACGTTTAATTAGAAAAGTGACAAAATACGTTACGAAAATCCTTGCAGTCTTTAAACGGAATCAAGTTAAACTTTAGTTAGAGTGACTGTTGTTATCTAAATTTTTAATGGGGGTTGTTAATCCTTCAGAATTATCTCTTGGAAAAGATAAAGTGGACGGAAAGCAAGACATTTGATTTATTTTTTATGACGGAAAATAAAATGGATCCGTGTCCGTAGGGACAATCGCGTACTCAAAATACCTTAAACGATAAATAAATATTTGTTAGGTACAGTTGACATTCTCCAACTCATTAATAAAGTCTACAAGTTACTTTAGGCATCAACATCACTTAAGATACAATCTAGTAATTTATAGTTGGGCCAATTATATTTTCATTTATCTTAAATTGGATCTTAAAGCGACTAGCGGCCGAGCATTCAATTCCAACTTAGCACCAACGATAAAATTTTTCCTTGTTCGAATTGATAAATGCGTTAGTTACTCTTCAAATTAACTCACCATTTAAAACAAAAAATAAAATGCGAAGTCTCTACGTTCGAAATAATAAATCTAAATTAGACTTTTGTGTTGGGTTTGATTAAAGACTCCTAATAAAAAACAAGAGGATCGAACGCAATTTACCGCTTAATCCCGAAATAATAGGAATTTAATGGCGCTCATGGGACCACGGGTAATCTTTGGCAGATAACGAACCAAAAAGTAATGGGAGGGAGACGTTCCCGGAACGGTTTCTATATTTTCAGATGATGCGTGCAATTTTCTGCACATCATTCGTCCTCTGACATTCGCCAGCAATAATTGGAAAATGAACCGATCGATTTTTATTTCGACAATAAAACTTTTGTATAAACTCTGTACTTTACCGGAGTAATAAACATCCAACGTTTAATAGCCTATTTCCTGAAGGAATTTAACTGTTTAATAGAATATAATGAGAACATATGGTTTTATGTTTTGGGTTTGCTTTGATGAAGCCTGCCTGTCATAAAATACATTTTATTAGTCACTTCAGCATCACTCTAACGGCGGTGATAGAATTATAGTCACTTCTTTTACGGCACCACATGTAACTACTACAAAACGCCAAAAATCCAACATCTATTATACTCCCTACCTCGACTACAGATTTATATCGCATTTGTTTGGTCGAATTTGCATCGCCTACAAATTAGTCAAATTCCAAAACTTTACGGCGATATAAATTGGTGAAACCTTTCGTTTGCCGCCATAAAGTCACATTATTCAGACGGTAGAATGCCAGAAAACGTGACTATTTTGAATATTTCCAACAATATTAAGATATCACGATTGGCACCACTCTTTGACTAGCCAAGACGCCGATTTAAAAGCATATAAATTATATTTTTAATAATAAATTTCGGCGTTGTTTCCAGCTGCTTGTATAACAGTACCATTGGCTACATGCCGAATATCATTAATCTAAACTGCCATATGAATGTGCAAAGTAAACCAACTGATGTTCAAACTTCTCAACTAAAAGAAGCAAGCGACTTGGGATAGTGATAATACACACCATTGGAATCGAACTCAATACTCGAACTCGAAAATTCATCCCTTAAGATACAAATGAAAGTCTATAAACACATGTCCTATAGGTAGGTATCTATATAAAAATAATTGCATGATACAGCGGGCCTAAATAAACACCTTTCCTTCGTCAAAAGTACTAATTTTTTTTATAAAAAAGTTCTTCCACAATTCCTATCGATTGGTAGATTAAGAAGGGTTTCGAATTTTCGAGGTTTTTTAATTCTTGAGATACATTAGTCTCTACAGATTTGTAAGATTCCTCAGATTCCTTAAACTCTTCAAATTCTTACGGTTCTTCGGGTGGATCCGTTCCTTCGAAATCTTTCGATTGTTGTTTAGATCCTTTCGTTCTTGCGAGTTCCTACAGTTATGCACCTCGAGTTCTTAGCATCCGCTTTCTTCATTAAACATCAATCGAGGAATCAAAAGTGTGTCGACGAGAGTTACACAGCTCTCAATTAGTGTAACGATAAGAAGTGATACAGGGACTCAATGATTTAGTACTTTTGGCGAGATATGAAATTTGTATGCCCTGTGAGAAGGTTGCTTGTAGACTTCGTAATCAATAGAGGAAACAAAGATATCCCTTGTACTACAATAATTACACCCTTGTCAATCGAAATTAGAATAATAAGCCAAAGTTTCCGAAAGTTTCTTTTCTATTCTTTTCAATCTCTCTAATCAGATCTTCAGATTCTTACATTCATCAAATTCTTCAAGTTCATTCCATGTATTCGAATCTTGTTATACATCTCTTCTACGAATGATTGCATTTCCCCGAATTATTTCCGATTTTTCAGATTGTTAGAATTGCTCAAGTACATAAGCTCCTGAAGATTCTTCAGATTCTTCCGTTTTTCCACATTCATCATATTCTACGAACATGATTTCTTAAAATTGTAGTAATTTCTGAATTTTTTGGGTTATTCTTCTTTTCACAACAGTCTTTCAAGCTTATTCAGTAACTTTTGTTCCCGAGTATTTATAATTCACTAATATAGTCAATAAGTTAAATAGAACCAATTATTTATTTAGAAACTTACGTACTATATTTACACTACCACAATTAATTCTGATCTATCACGCATCAGTACATCATTCGTTACGGAATTTGTTCATGGGGACCATCCCCCTATTCTCGTTGCGTCTTTCTCTCTCAAAAGAGAATTATCCGAACACTTGCAAATATTCGCAAATTTGATTCTTGTCGAGGATTCTTCAGAAAACATAAAATTCTCACTCTAACGGGATTGTATATATTACTGAAATCTGTCAATATATTTATGTCAACTCTAACAAGATGGTTAAAAGTAAGGATATACATCAATACAATATCCGAGGTAATGATAATCTTCGACCACATTTCACTAAGACAAAAATTGGAATCAATTGACCCTCCAATCTTGGAATTAAGATCTATAACCATTTACCTCACATAAAAATTATTTTTGTTTCTAGTTGACAAATGTCATTATGATATAAGTGAATATTTTACTGGTTAATGTAACTTGTTTGTCGCTATTTAATGTGTAATTTGTTTTTTACCTACATAATATTCAATGTAATTTAAAAATTTTAAGATATTTGTTGATAACTTCCACACAAACTAGTTTGTGTATGGAATAAATACTAATATTATTATTATCCCTTTTTTACCAAAAATCGACTACACCAAAATTTCTCGGGAAAACACTTTTTCTTATTAATTTGGGTGCGTAGAATCCAAATCAATTCGTACTTTTTCGAACAGACTTCTCAATCAAAAGTTATAGACTAGAAACCAATTTCGAAAAAAAATTCAAAGGGCTGTAACTTTTGAACTAGTAGCCCAATCTTGGAACTGTTTGTAATTATGGATTCTACAGGCCACATTCTATAAGAAAATTTTTTTTCCGGGTCGATCTGAGACAATTTTTTTTTCGGGGCTCAAAAAAAGGCAGTGTATAACCTTCCTTTTTACCAAAAATTGACTACACCAAAATTTCTCGGGAAAACACTTTTTCTTATTAATTTGGGTGCGTAGAATCCAAA